TTTTTCTTCTCTGCTATTCATATTGGATAGTTTCTATTAATCTATTTTCATATTTACTGACTCTTTCATCTCTATTCTGCCATTGTGTCCATCCAGTCAGTTTTAAAATTCCAGCTACTATATTCCTCACTTATAAAATTTCTTTTTTTCTTTTTTCTTTTTTTGAGATGGAGTATCACTCTGTCACCCAGGCTGGAGTGCAGTGGTGCAATCTCAGCTCACTGCAACCTCCACTTTCTGGGTTCAAACGATTCTTCTGTCTCAGCCTCCCCAGTAGCTGGGATTACAGGCACATGCCGCCACTCCCGGCTAATTTTTGTATTTTTAGTAGAGATGGGGTTTCACCATGTTTGCCAGGATGGTCTCAAACTCCTGACCTCATAATCTGCCCACACTGGCCTCCCAAAGTGCTGGGATTACAGGTCTGAGCCACCACGCCCGGCCTAAAATTTCAATTTGGTTCTTCTTTTATCTTTTACTCCTGTGCTGAGCCTTTTACCTTTACATTCATTTCAAGATTATTTGTCCTTACTTCTTGGAGCATCATTCTAATAGCTGCTTTAAAGTCTTTTTCAGATACTTCCAACACTGGTGTCATCTCAGGATTGGTGTCTGTTAATTGCCTTTTCCCACTCAAGTTAAGATTTTCATGGTTCTTTAGGTATTGAATAATTTTGGGTTGTATCCTGGACATTTCGAATATTATATTATAAGATGTTGTATCTTGTTTTAATACTATGGGGAAATATTTATATTTTTGTTTTAGCTTGTAATAGACATGCTTGGGTTTAGATCATAAGTTCCGACCTGCCTTTTGTGGATAGTAGCTCCAAAGTCAATTCAGTTTTCAAAACTTTGCAATGCTATTCCGATCTGTCTTACATGTGTTTTATCCAGTGGCTAGTCTAGGTCTTGGGTGGTGGTCTGCCTTTTAGTTCAATTATCACAGCCTTTGGTATGCTGTTTAGGATCAGATCCATGTGCAGGTTGAGATAAACCTAGGAGTTCATGACAACTTTATGACGACTTTTCCCAAAGTCCTGCCCTCTCTACTGTCTCCTTGGTACTTTGTAATGCCTTGGAGTTCCCCTTTTAATCAATTGGCAAGAAATATCAGCTATTTATTTATTTAAAGAGAGGGTCGTGCTCTGTCACCCAGTATGGCGTGCAGTGGTATGATCATTGCTCGCTGCAGCCTCAAACTGAGCTCAAGTGATCCTCCCACCTTAGCCTCTTGAATAGCCAGGACTATAGGCAAGCACTACCATGCCCAGCTCATTTTGTTTTTAAATTTTTCGTAGAGACAGGGTCTTGCTACATTGCCCAGGCTGTTTTTCAACTCCTGGCCTCAACCAATCCTCCCACCTCGGCCTCCCAAAGCATTGGGATTACAGGGGTGAGCCACCACACCTGTCCGGAAATCTGGGTCTTTTTAAAAATCCTCTCTGTTGTGTATTTCCTGCAACTTTGCCCATGTCTTGGGCCAAGCATCAGGACAGAGAGAGTGAAAAAAATATATATCATTGAGGGTTTGGCCCCACTGTCTTGGGACCAGAGCTACTCCAAACAGAGAGGAAGGTTCTCCCCTCCCTCAGCATTTTGGGGTGCTTGCGTGGACTGCTTTCTCCATTGTCACTGTTGACTCAGCTGCCACAGTGGGATTGCTTATTGGCTAAGAAGCAAGAGAATGGAGAAAAGAAAAAAAAAAAAGGAAAATGGCACATTTCTCCTGCTTTCTCTGAATATTAGGAGACCAATTTTCTGCTTTTCCTAGAGCTTTCTCTGTCCATGTTGATGCTCCCTTCTGGGTTTTGAGCTACCTTGAGTCTAGTCTAGTGTAGACTGGAAGAGAAAAATGGTAAATTCACTGCCAGTTCAGTTTTGCTTCAAATTCTGTTGTTTTTCCTCAGTTTGTGTGGTACAATTTACTTTCTAGAGTCCTCAAATAGCTGCTGCATGCATTCTGTTCATATTTTATAGCTGTATTCAGTAGGAGGTAATGGGTTGGGTGTGATTATTCTGGGTTAGCTGAAATTAGAACTCCTGTATTGTATAGGTTAGTTTTCATACATAAATATGTATACATAACGGAGTGTTATCTTTGGTGTATATTTGTGAATAGTTGGGACTAGTCTTTTCATACTCTACCCAAAGGAACTACTTTACATAATAAATACTCTTCTGGTTATCTATTGCTGTGGAAGAAACCACCCTCAAACTTACTAGCTTAAAATAACATCAATCATTTTATTATGTTACAATTGCAGATGTTGGTTAGGCTCAGCGACATGGTTCTTGCTTGGGGCCTCTCATATGTCTACAGTAAAATGGTGGCTCTGAAGAAATTGATTTGAAGGCTCATTCATTCACATCCATGGCATTTGGGCTGGGAACACTCAAAAAGTTGGGGCTCCTGTGGCATCTGCCTCTATTGCTATGTGGTCCCTCTACATGGTTTCTTCAGTATGGCAGCCTCCAGGTAGCTAGATTTCTTTTTTCTTCTCTCTCTCTCTCTCTCTCTTTCTCTCTCTCCCTCTCTTTTTCTTGAGATGGAATCTCACCATGTCACCCAGCCTGGAGTGAAGTGGTGCGATCTTGGCTCACTGCAACTTCCGCCTCTCGGGTTCAAGAGATTCTTCTGCCTCAGCCTCCTGAGTAGCTGAGACTACAGGCATGCGCCACCACACCCAGCTACTTTTTTTGTATTTTTAGTAGAGACGAGGTTTCACCATATTTGTCAGGCTGGTCTTGAACTCCTGACCTTGTGATCCACGTGCCTCAGCCTCCCAAAGTGCTGGGATTACAGGCATGAGCCACCGCACCTGGCCTTTTTTGTTTTGTTTTGTTTTTGGAGACAGGGTCTCACTCTGTTGCCCAGGCTGTGCAGTGATCTTGGCTCACTGCAACCTCCACCTCCCAGGTTCAAGTGGTTGTCGTACCTCCGCCTCCCAAGTAGCTGAGATTACAGGCACAGGTCGCCACACTGGGCTAATTTTTGTATTTTTAGTAGAGATGGGGTTTCTCCATGTTGGTCAGGCTTGTCTTGAACTCCTGACCTCAGGTGATCCACCTGCCTCCGCCTCCCAAAGTGCTGAGATTATAGGTGTGAGCCACTGCACCCGGCCTGGCTAGATTTGTTAAATAGACTCAGGGCTCTAAAGTGAGTGGAAAGTGACTGAAACAGGCAGGAGGTAGATTACCTTTTATGATCCAGCCTCACAAATCACATAATCTCCATTACCACATTATATTCTTTGAGGCAGTCACAAAGGTCCACTGAAGTTCGAGGGGTGGGAACATAGATGCCCCTTCTTGATGCAGGATGGTAAGGTTCTGGGATTGGAAATATGGTTGTGGCCATTAAAAAAAAAAGCAATCTGCCACAAAAAGTAAGAAGTCTGTACTTTTAAGGTAGCTCCTGAGTTGCCTTCCATGTGAACTGAAGAGGGAAATTCTGTCCTTGAGTACTGGGCACCCAAGGGGGCATAATATTATACCAATACAGGGACCATCCAGGTTTTCAGTATTTGCAATTTCATTGGAAAGCTGAGTGGAACTTCAAGGTATCTGGATGTTTGCAGGGGCTGAGTGACTGCCTAGAGGAGCTGGGAAAGGGGCTAGCTAAAATCTAGATGAAGAGATTTCCCTGCTGTAAAGAAGCCACTAGGCAACTTTGGCAGAGTGTTCACCTACAGGGGACCCAAGAAGGCTGCAGTACTCCGAAGAGTTTTCTAATGCTACCTGTACCCTATTAGTGTGTTTGGTTAAGCGTTGCCTTCTTCAATGAATCCTCTTAAAAATGCAAACTCCCAAATGTCAGATATCGGCGAAGGGGAGGAAGGCGGCAAATCACGCCGCCATGTGTGTAAGTCTGCAACAATCTTGCATGTTTTTCACATGTACCCCAAAACATAAAATGCAATAAAAAAATAAAAAATAAATAAAAATAAAAAAATGCAAACTCCGGTGGAAACAAAAACATGGATAGTTTTGGTAGAGATTTCAGAGAGGTTTAATAAACACATGAGTACAGTGCTAAGCACTGGGAATTCCGTGATTAATCTGATCTCGTTTTCTCCTTGACCAGAGAAGCAAAGTGGATTGAAGAGTCTCCTTTTCCTGAGAATTTGTTCCAAGAGGCTTCATCTTTCAGAGTCCATGTCATAATTTTGTTCAGAGGTGGGCTTGGTCCTGAGTCATTAAAAGACTCCTTGGGTTACCAGGTGAGCAACATAAAAGGGTCATCAGGGTGACCCCCTCACCACCACCACCTTAGGACCAGCTACTGCTCATCTACCAGGAATGGCAAGCGTTCAGTTCCTTGTGGTTCAAACCTTTTCCCCAAGGGGATCAGTAGCACAGTGCAGACAAAGTCAGTCTATTCCCTCAAGTGAGGAAGGAGATACCTCAATGTCCTCCCCCAATTCCAATCCCTTATCAGTCCTCACATTTGAGTCAGATGAGAACAGAGGTTTGAATGAAACCTAGCAGATTCTGGGGCTGGAAGGCAACCTGAGAGATGAGGAGAGAGAGGTGTAGGGGCTAACGTGGCTTCAGGGCTGCTCGGTTCCCTGAGAGACCCCACTTTACTGGGCCCAGGGCAGCTACACACTGACTTGAGATTAAACACTTGGCGGTGGCGCCAGAGACTGGACTCGAGACCGCACAGCGAGCCATTCAAAGCCGATGCTCCCGCTAGGTGCCGGCGACCTCTGCCGTCCCCTTTAGGAAGCGCGGCGGCAACTGCCTCTGAACTGGCCCCGCGATCCCAGACTGCCTGGCCAGGTGCGCCAGGACGGGGAGAGGAGCGCAGAGAGGCAAGCGGTCAGCGGCCGGCCCACGGACCGGAGGGCGACAGTCGGCTCCGCCGGGGAGGCTTGGTCGGCCCGCGGGGCGGCGCGGCGTGGCGCGGCCAGGGGACGAACAGGTGCGCGGGCGGGGGGCGGTGCTTGGGGATCCTGCGCACTGCGCGCGCCCCTCCCCCGCGCGGCTCTGGGCGCAGCCCCGGCCGGGCGCGAGTAGGAGGAGGAGCTGCAGCGGCCGCGGCCACTCCGGCAGGTCCGCGGTACTGCCGGAACCCGCCGACGGCGCGGGCTGCTGGTCCCCGCGCGGAGGAGGCGCCGGCGGCCCCGGGACCATGGAGCCTGGTGACGCGAGGCGCCCCGGCTTCGGTCGGGCTGCCAGGGCGCCGCCGCGGCGACTACTGCTGCCGCCGTTGCTGCTGTCGCTGCTGCTGGGTCGGGGGCTACGAGTAGCGGCCGCGGCCTCGGCCTCCTCTGGGGCGGCGGCCGAGGACAGCAGCGCCATGGAGGAGCTCGCCACTGAGAAGGAGGCGGAGGAGAGCCACCGGCAAGACAGCGTGAGCCTGCTCACCTTCATCCTGCTGCTCACGCTCACCATCCTCACCATCTGGCTCTTCAAGCACCGCCGGGTGCGCTTTCTGCACGAGACCGGGCTGGCCATGATCTATGGTGAGCACCCCTGCTGCACCCCCCGCCCTCCACACCCCTTGGCCGCCGCGCTCCTCCTGGCGCCCCGCGGTGCTCCCCCTTCACTTGGCCAACGTGTTCCGTTTCTTTTACGTTTCCCGCTGCGACGATGTTGGTTCCCAAGGTCAACTGTCTGCATTTTCTGTCTCTCTGCTACCGTTTAAAAACAATTCCACCCCATTTCCACGTTTCTGCATTGGGAACCCAAGAAAACGAAAGGGACAGAGGTGCGGTTCCGTCTGCCCCGTTCGGTCTCTGTTGCAAACCTCTTACCCACCACCTCCCGCCCCAGTTGAGGTCGGTAGGGTGTGTGTGCCTGCCTGGTGGCTGGAGGTGGGTGACTTCCCAGGTGACCACATCACCTCGGGACAGGCCACAGTAGGGAGTGGGGACGAAGCCTGAAATTGTCTTTGCTTGGGTATGCTTTAGTGTGGGGGCGGTCTCGGAACCCCACATCCATGGTCAGCTTGGGTGGGCACCCACTTCTGAGGTTCACATCCCCAAGTCTCTTACTGACAAAGTCGGAGCATGAAATGCGGTGAAAGGCAGCAGTGGTCCAGGACCCAGAGGGGGTGGCACCACCATGTCAGGCCTAGATGGGGAGACAGGCACACCTCCTGCTCTTATGTCCCAAGTGGGAAGTTATACCCAGTTACTTGCTTTCTCAAACAAAGAGGAGCTTTTGTATTCCTAAGACGGTAACATGAAGTGACTTTGAGGTACATTTCCGAATGCATGAAGGGGAAAAATCGTGGTTTTAATTCTCGAGTCAGCCATCTTTTGTTGTTAGGGGTGGGCTGATGCCACCATCCTTTTCTAGATTTGACGGTACACAGTGTGTTACATGCACAGTGGTCAGTACAAATCTCCCTTTATTACATGGATGTCAGCCATAATCTGAGTCATCCCTCTTTCTCTTCTGTGTCCCCTACATCTCCCCTTCACCCTGCCCGTGACTGCAACGTGCAGTCAGGTATTCTGTTTTTGAATGTAATTATTTCAGTGCTGTTAAAGCCCACGTTGCCATCCTCACACGAAATAGACGAGCCACTTCATCACTGTTCCCAATGGGGAACATTTTACTTTATCACTTAACTGGAGGGATTTCTTAATCCAGTTTCCCTCCAGGGTTCCCTGATAGAGAATGGAAAGCAAAAACCTTAACCTTTAATGTGAAAGTTACCTTTGGTTCTGGGCCTTGCTTCTCAAGTTTCTTGATTAGTTGTTAACAGCTGGAGCTCATGGCCACGAGGCCCACCACCAAACCGTGTAAGGGGCAAGCGCTGTTAAGAGCCCTCCAGTGTTGAAGAAGTAGTGACCTACACAGATCTTGAAACAGGACCAGGTCTAAAACTGAGTTTGATGATTGCAAATTATAAGTCTCAACACAGACTTTGTCCTCCACCTCTGACTGTTGTTGAGCTCTGTGGTTTGTGTCAGTTAGTGATAAATGACTGATGCCAGGCCTGCAGGTAAGTTGGGAGGTTTCCTGAGAAGACAGACAGGGGCGAATTGAAGCACGTGGTCATTGCAGGTGATTGACTCCAATCCATGATGCAAATGAAAATTGCCTTTCTATGTAGATAACCATGGAAATATTTGTATTTAATAGGCCCTAGACCCAGTTTATAAAAGGACAATGTGAAATAGGAGGTAGATTTGACAGATTCGTAAATACATGCTCAAGGGATGGAAAATAGATGGTGATTTAAAAATATTTTTTCTGGAGAGTACTCCGTGTTCTGAAGAGTTCAATCACCTTTATCTTAAGGCTTAAAGACAACAGTGGAATTTTCCTTTGCTGATACGTACTTTTAAAACTCACCTCCATCTTTCAGCTGTTTGGTTGTGCTACAGTGTACTGTTTTGTTTAGTGAACAATCAAGTTACAAATCTGGTGACTGTTCAGAAAAGGCAACATCATCTCAGCATTCATGTGTAATTTTGTTCTATATCTTTGAGTATTAGTGTTACTTTAATGTATAAAGAAATTTAGTTTGTCAATATGTGATGTCCCAGGGCATGCCAAATATTAATCTTTTAAGGATTGTCTGTAATTGTGAGAAAACCTTTCTTCTTTCTCTCAGGTATGTTTGGCCTTCCGCTTCAAGGACCCCCTAATCTGAATTCTAATATCATATGGTTAGCTAATTATTCATAATATACTGAAGACTATCGGGATGGGGATTTTAAATTGATTTTAAAATTCAGTTTGCAATCTTTTTAAAAAAGTGTCCACATTTAAGATGTACAACATGCTTTGCTAAACACAGTGAAATAATTACTACTGTCAAGCAAATCTTTGAATACAAGTGAATCCAGTAAAGATTTTCCAAGACTTCTCTTTTTTAATAGTAAGAAATAAAATTTTATTTCTCTATATCAATAGAGGAAGTGAGTAATTGTCCTCTTGGCTCTGAGTAAGGAATGACAAAAAGACCTAAGGAAACATTTTTTTAAAGTATCCACTGCGTGCCGGGTACCCAACTTAATTTCTGGTGGCAAACAATTTAACTTTTAAATGTATATGAATGAAAGAGTTCAACTGTGAATTTCAAAACTCTTTATTTTGGGAAAAAGTTTTAAAATCTAATTTCTGCCACCTTTTTGTGTTTAAGTGTCACTTTAACTGAGAGGAACGTCTTTTACATTTAAAAGAAATTTATATATATATATTTATAGATTTGTTGGTATAGTCATGAAATATCTCTGGAAGGACATGCAGTAGATGAGTAACATTGGTTGCCTTGGGGGAGAGGAACTAGATGGCTGTGAAATAGAAGTGGGAGGGAGAGGTCACCATATAACCTTTTGTGCTTTTCAATCTTGTAATAACATTTTAACCTGCTCCTCAAATCATTCAATTTGACGCCTACTTCTCCCTATTTAAATCACATTGTTATCAGTTTTCTTCCTGACCTTTCAATTGTTGACTGTGCCCGTGGAGCTTTTCTGAGCCCTGTGTCTGAGATGGAGATAAAATGGAGAAAGGAGAAGAGATTTTCCTTTCTCTTTCTCTCTCTCCTTCCTTCCCTTTATTCCATTATCCTCAGAGAGTAGTATGTTACATTAGCAGTGATGTGCACAAATAGATCCCATAAGAAGTGCTTGCTTGGGTGCAGAGGATATAAGGAAAATAAAAGACACACTGTGAATGCTTAAACAGAAAGGAACTCCCCCACCCACCAAGGGACACTTATAAGCATTCCTCCCTGACAGGCCAGGGCAGCAACAAGGGAAGGTAGCTACAGACCTAACTTCCCAGGGATGTTGAAAGCAGCCCCCAGACCCTACCACTGGAGCTGCAGGACAGTGGGGCTGGGTACTTGCCTGCTACCAGTCTAACCTGTTCTGTCAGGCCAGGGAGCTCCCAGCTGTCTGTCTCTGTTAACATGATTAAGTGCCATCCGAAAGGTACTGGGCCCTACATGTCTGTGCAGCAGAAATAGAAAGTGTTTAGGGAAGGGAAGGGTGGTATAAACAGACCCGTGCCAGTTAATTTTGTGGTTCTCTCTCAAATGTATGGTAGTTCCACTTCCCCCATAATGTTTTTGTGACAACTGATATGGATCCAAAATAATTTGACTCTGCCATGCTAACCCATCACCTGCTTCTCACTTCCTCCTCCTCTTCCTCCACCATTCCATCACCTTTCCAAAAAGATGTTGGTCAGCCCCTCGGGTTCTGTGGATTGTGGGCTCATTGTTACTGTGGTGGACCTGGGTTCCTAAGCACAGCCTGAGAGTGGGCTCATAGGCAAAGTCCGAAGGGGGAAAAGATGACTCTGCGGTAACATGAAATTAACATTTGAACCTGTGAGCAAACATTTTGGAATTGTCTCCTTCCTGGTTAATCAGGAGTCCCCCCTTTTAAGAGCCCCTTACTTTGGCCCCAGTTGGGAGCAGATTCTGTATGGTCTCACTTTGGTACCAGATATCCCTGGGTTCAAATGCTGGGCCTGTTACATATAAAACTGTGTAGCATCGGATAAACAATCTGAGCTTTAGCTTCCTCTTTTGGAAAATGGAGATTATGTTACCTCACAGAATTGCTGTGTTATTGAGATATTCTGAAGGATCAAGTGCAGGGTCTAACACTTAAGCACTTGGTAAATATTAGTTCCCATTCTCATTTTAGGCTTTGTGATTCTTTGGCAGGCTTTAACTACTTGAGTTTTGTTCAGCAGTGGTCTGCCGTAATTTTAAAATGCATTAGGACACAGTTAGTGGAAGTGAGGAGAATTGTATATTTTGGGGTGGGCCATTTGTTAATATCCAGAAAAAATTTACAACACACTTACCCTTTTATTCAGCATTTTCAATTCTTAGACTTTGTCTTTCAGAAATACTTGTGCTAGCATGTTACAATATATAGACAGCAATGTTTGTTGCAGTGGAAATAAGTTGCAGTACTCATCAGAGGGTTAAATTCTAACACATTCCCATTAAGGAATACTATGTTGTGATAAAAAGAGGTATTTTGAGATATCCTTTTAAGGCTACTGTCCACACATAGTGTTGTGGAAAAAGCAGGGTACAGAACATCATGTATCGTATTATCCTATTTGATCTTTCAATAACTATATACTGTATATACACAAACATGATATATATATAATATATGTATGGCATATGTGCTTTTCTGGAAGGATATGCAAGCTTTATCCTTTGGGAACGGGATGAGTTGTTGGGAGAAAGAGAAGAGAAATGTTACTTTTTCTTTATATTCTTCTAAATGGCCTGAACATTCTTTAATACTGACACATTACTTTTGCAATTTAAACATTGTTTAAAAATAAAGCAAATAACTTATGTAGCAAAAAAATGCTTTATAAATACAAAACCGTATTATGTGGTTGCATGGCATTTTCCTTGCATTGTCAAAATGTTTTTTGTAAAGAGGTCTCTGGATATAAAGAATGCTTTTACTTATTATTTGATAGTTATAAATGGAAGTAACATGTTTGTATCTTAAAAATTAGA